CCAAAACGGGCTGGTGAGATGGCTCAATGGTCTAAAGCACCTACTTAGAACAAGCTTAGCAGAGCACAGGGACCGTGGTTCAATCCCCCAGCACCACGTGCCAGCCAGCCCTGCCCCCTGGTGGGCTGAGCTGCCCCCCCCCAATAAATAAATAAATAAATAAATAAACCCAAACCCCAAATTGCTTAGATTTTGAAATAATATTAGTGAACAAGAAAGTGGAACAACAACATTATATGAAGAGGGACCCAGATAGGTCTCTTTGTTTTGTATTATGAAACTAATAATCATCAATGGCCTGTTCGTTCAACTTCATATGACTCTTCTTTCTCTTTTCGGCTGAAAACCAGGCAGCTGTACATCTAGCAGACCTGAAGGAAAAATTCTTATAGGTTCAACATATCTTTCGCCAACTTATCCCTAAGACTGTTTCTCCATCTTCTGCTCCAAGTTTCTACCCTCTTTTCACAGTACTGAAACATGATAAGACTGTGCAACCAATCCTTCCCCAAGCACAAAGGACTTCCGGTCAGCAGAAAGCATGCAGGGATCCTCACTTTCCAGGGCACAGCTGGTTCTAGACCTACTCGGGAATGCTCCTCTATTTTCAGACCATTAATAATACTCACTTATAAAGTATATAACAAGTAGGTTGTAAAAGTTTCTTTAATGAACATGAGGACTTAACAGGAAAGAAATTTGAAATATATTTTGATGGAGGTATTAGTTAGCCCTTGTTACCTGTTCCTCTGTGATGCTGAGCCTTCTTACTGCCTACTGGCCTTTCTGAAAAAAATTGATTTTCTAAAAAAGACTTTTACAAATAAATCTACATACTTAACTCAATAAATAATCCCACTTTTAAGACTTTTTCCTGCTAGATGTGGTGGCACAAACTTGTAATTCTGGCACTCAGGAGGCTGAGGCAGGACGAGCGCCATGAGTTTGAAGCCAACCTAACTACGTAAGTGAGTTCAAGGCCAGCCTGAACTACACAGCAAAATCATATCTGAAAACCCCCCACTAAGCCCATGATTGTTTTTTTCCCTAAGAAACAATTAGAAAGGTATGCAAAGATTTGTGCTCAAGAATGATTAGCAAAGGATTAAAATTAAAAAAAAAACAAAACTGGATAGAGAATGACAAACAGCTCGATGGGACTAATAACAGTTTATGTGGCATGAAATTATGCCGAGGATAAAGACTTTGTGTGCCTTTCCTAAAGGCCATCAGAAGCCAGTAATAAATGAATATGGTTACAAACTTAGGTGGTAAGTTAATAATATGGTCATAAATTCTTTGCAGTTCTTCCATCAACAGGTAGAGTATATGCACCACTTTTTTTTTTAACATCAGTTATTTTTATTTTAAAATAAAAGAAATAAAAACAATGGTACAAAATCTCAAAACAAGATTTTAGGAGAGTAACAATGGTTAGTACATTGTGTATTGTTACTGTCAAAGTAGTTTCTTATATTACAAGATATAAGCAAAAAATAATAAGCAAATAACATAGGTACAAACCTCT